AGGCGCCCGCGGCGGCACCGGGGCCCGGGCCCGCGCTCCCTCCCTCTGTTCTCGGCGGAATGCCCGGGCTGACCTGCCGAAGGGGCCGCGCGGAGGTTCGTGGGAGCCGCCACGCCGGTCTGGGTCCGACACTGGGGAGAGGGGGAAAGGGCCGCGGCGATGGCGATGACGCCGGGCCTGAGGGCAGGGGCAACTAGCCCGGGTGGCTACAGGCAACCTCCAGCTGCAGAGGGCATGTCACTGGGCACCCGTTGCAGGGGACACACGGGTGCCCGGGCCCTGTCTGCGGGCTTCCTACAGTGGCCCACCAGCCCCTTGGTTTGATCCAGCACGGCTCTTCCGCTCTTATTGGGGTCCCGATGCGTTAAAGCAGGCGGTGAGCAGTAAGTTGATTGCCAGATATTTTGGACTTCAGCTCCCAGCATTCTTGAGCCCTGGCAGAAGCTTCTGGGAGCTGAGGTCTGGAGCCAGGAGTGGCCTGTGCCCATTAGTACTGGAGTGGCAGGGCGGCCAAATTCGGTAGAGCTGGCTGGAGCAGGAGTCCGAAGCTGAGAGGAGTGACCATGGGGGCCTCAGTGCCCCGCGTGCTTAGAAATACCCGCCGTAAGTGCCCAAAGTATCCGCAGATGTTTCTGCATCCCACCCTTGCCATGGCAATCTGGGCTCCACGCCCAGTGCGTGCCTCCTTGGGAACGAGGCAATGACCTCCTCCCCCTCCTCCAGAGACTGTGGGAAACGCAACCCAGGGGCACCTCCGTGAACCAGTCGGGTTGATTTGGAGACCGGCCCCATCGCTGCAACGGGACTTCCTCCCACGTGGGCAACGAGTGCTTGGTGAAGGGCTTAGGAAAGCAAGACGTGCGCAGTTGTGGTACTGCTTTCTGTTGGAGCAGCTAGGGGACTGCGCTAAGCGATCCCAAAAGCGGTCCCCAGGTTTTAAATTTGTCATGCCTCCTAATTAAAAAAAATGCATGATGGCTGAATCCTTTATGGTCGCTTTTGTGCTCATATTTGTATATGAGAATGGTTCAGGACAAACGCTTTCCATATTGCATAGCTTCTTAAATATTTTTATGGACTTTTATTTGCAGTATTGTACTGATTGTATCGATCCCCCCACCCCTTTGCATTAGATACAGATTTCTGTATTTGTGTTGCATAAGTTGCTCTGAGACCGAGATTTGCAATGGGAAATGATGTGCCATGATAAAATTAAAAATAATAAAGGAACACAGTGAATAAGGGGAGGTGGTTGTCCCATCTCAGAAGAGGCATTGCCCCCCTGTGGCTGGAGCGGGTCAGAGGGAGGCTTCTGGAACCAGCATTATTGCCCTACTGAAAATTAATTGATTGATTAATAAGGAAAGGCTTTCTCTCAAAACAGAGCGCCTCTTCCAAAATGCCTCTTCTGAAAAGATCGTGGCTGCAACATGCATGTGCATCGCGCTGCTGCATTTGCTCAGCTCCCTCCCACACATGCCCCCAACTGAGGCCCAGGCGATGCAACGCACGTGTCCCAGTGCCTTGGACTAGCCAAATGCTTCGCAGCAGAGCTGGTCCAGGCAGGATGGCTGGGCTGCACGCGGGCTGTTCGTCAGCCCAGGCAAGGGCTCTTGGCCCTGTCCTGGAGGCGCCCCCCTCTCTGAAGAAGCAGATTCTTAGCTCTTTCTGGCAACGCAGCCGGGGATCTGGCCTGCACCAATCTTACTGGATGACCATCTTTTGTGGTTGTCCAGCTCTTATCCGCCCCCACCCCCGCCATTCTGAAAGCATGGAATGCCTCTTCTAAAGTTTGTTTCCAGTAGTAACAGGTTCTAGGCTAAAATAGATGCTATTTGCTCACCTTGATGCTTTTGGCCACTTCAAATGGCCCCCGAGGGCTTCCCCAAATAGAATTTGACCCTTGGCAGAAAGGGCTGTGCAGCCACTGCCCCAGAAGCTGCTCCAGAAATGACTGCAGGACAGAGAGAGGTGCCTCCAGGTGCAGCATTTACCCCGCCGCCTTCACAGAATTTCAAAGGGGCAGGGCACAGGTGTCCAGGTGTTTCCAGGTTGCTGAAAGCCCATCCTTGGGCGGAGAACATCCCCGCTTCTCCAGCTTGGCCATTCTGCAGGCTTCAGCCAGGAGCAGTGGCTCCAGGCTGCTCATGAATGAGCAAAGGCTACTCACAGGTAAGGGCACCGCTGTGCTGGGAAAAGCCCTTTTCTCCTCAAGGCTCCAGAGACCCCCACCCCACAAGCCAGCAGAGTCAACAGTGGGCCGAGCCGATTCCTGCCGAGGGTCTGACCAATTTGATTCTGGAACAAGAAAGGGTGCTGCACAGGGGCCGCAGGTCTCAGCTGCTGGTAACAACATCGATCCCTTTAGGCTGGACTAAACTGCAGGCACCAGGTGCAAAGCACAGATGCTTTTAATTCAAACCACGGGGCTAAGGAAGCTGGGGGGCACCTCCCCCCCAGACGAGCACACAGAGGTTCACAGCCCCAGGGGATGGCCGCATGGTCATTCGAGGCCCAGGGACTAAGGGCACAGCTGTTTGCAACAAGAGAGGCGGACGGGTGGGCCCGCTCAGGCAGCCAAGCTGAGGTGGCCTCTTGCAGCCCAGCAAACCAAGCAGCCCCACCAGGAGTGATCAAAGGCCAGCTCCCGGCACGCCTGATCACCAGTGGCCCTCCTTCCACTACTTGCCTCTGTCAGCAGAGGCAACATAGACTGTGTGCCAGTAAAGGCTAGATTAAGCCTTCTCAAACCTTGACCAGTATTTGGGGAGAGGGGAGCGAATGCCGCCCTCCTGAATTGGCACTCCGCCCCCATTTGGGCAGAGCTGACCGACCCGGAGCCCTTCAAATGCTTTGGATGGCAACTCACAGCATGCTAGACGAAGTCGAAGGCACCAGGTAAGGGGAAAATGTGCCAGGGGGTGGGAACTAGTAACAGCGACGGAAGAGCTGAGCAGTGCTGGGGCATCTCCAGCTCCCCCCACAGGAGCTGCATCCCCATTTCCCACAGATACAGCTCAGTCCCTTCCACACCTGCCTAAACCCAATTTTTGGACCAAGGCTGGTAAGTCACCCCACACAGGACTTCCGCAGACACTTGCACACGCATCCCACTGGAGACGTGCACACTCGCGCCTCTGCCTGCTTCACTCCTACATTTCCTTCTCCTCCCCCACCAAATAGCGTGTGGCTGGGAGAAGCCCCAGGGCCGAGCAAAGCAAAAACCCAAACCCACAGGCAGTGTTCAGGATAGGCCCTACTCAGATTAAGGGACATTGATTCGAGTGGAAGGCCAGCAGATGCAACCCTTAAGGGGGGGGGCAAAGGGGTCATAAAGAACTTGCCCTAATCCTAACCGTTAGGGGGGCTACAGGAGAGAGAATAGAAGGAAGGCAAAATGCAACTTTGTTAGCCTGACTCTCTCCTTGATGGGGAAAGAGGACAAAAAGTTTGGCTCCCCCAGTCCCTCATTATCTCTGACAACAAATCAGAGATAACGGGGTCGGGGAGCCACAGCAAAGGGCCACAATTCCCAGCTGCGATCATTATGGAAGGGTTCAAAAGCCGGAAAATGCAGCCATGTCCTAATCCAGGGTGGAAAATGAAGATCATCAGGCAAGGAGTGAAGGAGTGTGTGTCTTTGAGCATGTCTGATCAGGTTTGAAGATGCAAACATTTCCCAAATCAAGGGCAAATGGCTTGGGGATTCAGAAATGGGGTTGGGGGAACAGAGGAAGAAAACTAGGAAGGGCTTCTTAATAGCCCAACGTATTTCCAAAACAATTTATCTGTGAGAACATCTTGAATTCGGCTGGAAGCCTGTGCCAGGGTTCCCAAGGCAAAGCCATTCCCATACCAAGAAATGCCCCTGGAGACTCGGGGGATGCCTGCACACGCACATCTGCAGCTAAAAGTGACAGATCTTGGGATCCAGAGAGGGGCAGGGAGGCTCCGCTTTCCATAATGACACAAAAAAGATCCCTCCCCCCCCCACCAGCAAGCCAAAAAACCACCAACCAGTGCACCAAAGAACAAACACACACATCTTTCAACCACAGCCCAAAAGAGCCGAGGAAAGCAAAGTGAGTCGTTTCTTGGGGAAATCACTTCCTCTTAGCGAGGTCAGCCGAGTCAGTCTGGTGTGGCCAACACTGACAGTGGATGAACACACGCATGCAAGAGTCTGTCCAGCTTAGAGTTTGGATGGTTTCACGGCAAACCCAAGCAAGTTTCCGCTCTAAAAGACGCATGGTTGTGGGAACGAGGTACTTAAGCAACTGGCACCGCTTTGGCAAGTCATTCAGTCAAGCGCAGGGACTCCTCGAGGTGGAGTCTGCAGGACAAATGCCAACTCGGGAGGCACTGAGGGCCCGATTAAGGCTGTGGGGCCAGAGGTTCCACGGGGCTGTGGGCTGGCACTGCACAGCCACCTGAACACAGGCCTACAGATCTTCGGGCCATCGAAGGAAGACCCACCCACATTCGAGAGAGCCTCCCCGTGTTTTGTGGTCACAGGTGAGCAGCAAACCCGGAAGAGTGACTGACCTCTCCTGCCTAACAAGGCCAGGATGCTTCCAGTTAGACCAGCAGACAGCTGGGCTGATGGTCCAGCTACCTTCCAACGCACCCAAAGACAGCGACCCTAACCCCAACCCTTTCCCCACTACAAGCACCAGGAAAACAAAAACACAGAAAGATGCAGGCACATGCTTAGCTTTGCTCTTCCACACCCGACAACATCAAGAAAGCTGCATTATGCTGATACCCCCAAACCCTCGGCTCAAGTTTCTCCTTCAGCCACTCCAGCACTAATCTCCTCATAGATGAGATGTCCTCAGCCTTGGACTCCAACTCCCGGCCCGGCCACTAATGATGGGACCTGCAGTTCCTCCACACACCTCAGGGGGAAGGCGGCAGCAGAGCGGAGTGGAGTGGAGCGGAGCGGAGCGGAGCAAACACACACATGTGCACGCACACGCACACACACACACACCATGGAAGACTTCTGGCAGGCCGAGTTTATCCCCTCACTTGCATCTTCCCAGATCAGTATACAGCAGGACTTAAACATGAAAAAAACAAAACAAACACAAGCGCGCCAAACATGTCAGGACAAAGGACAGCTCGGTGTGTGTAGATTGTCATGTTCCGGAGTCAAGTTTAGCTCTTCCGCCGTGATTTCCCCCCTCGTATCCCCCCCTCCTTTTATCGCCATGAGATCATACAAGCGCTTCAGAAGCTCTCCTGGGCCGCTCCTTTGACCCAGCTTGCACTGCAAGGATGAGGGCGCAGGGGTGGGGGGACACGGCGTGGCCCCCGAGGGGCAGGATGGCGGGGAGGGGAAGAGGCGTGCTGTGGCTGCACCCTGCCACCCCCTGCACAAAGAAAACGAAAAAAGAAAAAAATCTCCTTAAGATGCAGCAGGCTGGATGGGAAGGAGGCTGCCAAACTTGAAATGCTGGATCACGGGGAACTTCTCCAGGCACTAAGAGGAGGAGGAGGGCGGATATGAAAGAAAAAAACAGAGACATATTTCAGGAGGAGCTGCAAAAAGCCATGCTTCCCCCCGAATCATCTGCATGTCTCGAGGCCGGCAACCCCTGCCAGGACTCAATGCTGGGAGGTGTAGAACCTTTTTCTGTCTCTTTTCAGTTTTGAGTTCCTTAAACTTAACGGCAAGGACCTGCAAGGCTCTGCTCCAGAACCGTGGTGCCCACAGGCCCAGATCCGGCTGACCTGGCTTCCCCCTTTCCCCGACCAACCACACATCCCTTAATGCTTTCCCAGCTGTTGGACAGCTGCTCCCAGCCTTCTGAAAGGTTGAAATGCCTCTCTGAAGGTTTCCTTTTAGGCAGGAAGGAGAGCGTCCAGCTTAAACGGGAGGGCGACTGCAAGGTAACAGTCCTCTCCCACCGCTGACCCCCAGCCACAGCAGCCGCCTGGAGGCTCCATTCTTCTGCCGTGACTCGCACCCACAGGCTGACCTTCTGCGAATTTGTCTGATCCCACCCCATAAGCCACCTCAACTACCAGCCAGCTAGACTGAATGTGCAAATAATGTCTTTGCTTTGTGTGCTTTTCTCCTGGACCGGAAACTTCTGCACAATCTGTCTCCACCCTTCCCTGAATGCTGCCATCGAACTCGAGAAAGAAAGATTCCCACCATCGGTTTTCTGCACCCCACGTCTGCAAGCATGTAGACAAGGCTCCACGAGTCATGTGAGGGTGCACCTTGGACTGGCACCTGCCCCACGGCTGCTGGGAGCGAGGCCCTTCCTCCCCCATCCCATCGTGAGACTCTGGACATACAAGGCGCATGACTCCTCTGCTGTGGCCAGATTAAAGGAGGCTCGTGGCACGAGGCCCCCCTTGCCGCTGTTAAAAGCACCTAGGCGGGCTTCCTGAGTCTTTTCCAGGTATGGTGTGACATACGGATTTCCACTGCAGCATTCTTTGCAACTTGAGGCTTGAAGGTACGCCACCTTCCATATGAATTTATGCACCTCTTCTATGTCGTGTTTTATGCACCCATTCTTTTTCTCGTTTTTGTTTTTAACGAAGAAACGTTATGCCAACTTTACAGATTAAATCAATGTGATGACATAGAAACACAGAAACAGAGCGAGTCAGAAGGGCCTCTCAGGCCATCTAGTCTGACCCCTGGTCAGCTCTGCTCACGATCTGCCCACCATGTGCATGTCTAGCCTATCATTATTCCTAGGTTTCTTTTTTGTGTAACTTGTTGAATTCTTAAGAAATACCTGTTATTTTATTGGAAACCAGATTATCTGAGGAACCTGCTAGAGCAGAGGTGTGGAATCTTTTTGAGTTTGGGGGCCATATTCCCTTTGAAGAAGCACTCGGGGCTGCATTCCAGGGTGGGAGAGGCCAACGGCAAAAGCGGGGCAGCCCAAAATGCAGCACAATGAAGCCACTGAGCCTTGCAAGAGACATTTCAGTATTTCAGAATGCAGGGGGCAGGATGCTTGGCGGCTGGGAGAAAAGGGGGATTATGTGGGGCAAGTCCAGAGGGTGGAATTGGGAACGCAGCAGTGCCAGATTGGCCCACAGGCCAGAGGATCCCCACCCCCACAGGAGACCAACAGAAAGCCCCGTGGGAGCAGCCAGGGCAACTCCTCCAACCTGGTGCTGTCCAAATGAGTTGGACGGTAACTCCCAGCGTCCCCAGCCAGCCGTTCCTCTGCCTTTGCTCACCTCAGCTTTATACATGCGGATGAGGCCCTGGTTCACTTTGGACCAGGAAGGGACTGCGCTGATGTTCCACAGCTGGTTGGAGTGCTCAGCAAACGGGCCTGTTTTCATCTGGAAGACAAGAGAGCAAGGACAAGCAGTAACGCCGGGTTAGATTTCACCAGCAGGACAACCCTGAACCCCACATTGTGCTAGACTCCAAGGAAGCAGTGATACTGGGAGCCGAACCAAAGGGCTTGTCAGGATCCAGGCTGTTCTGGGGCTTCACCTGAGGGCCAGGGCCAGGATGCTGCTGTAGGCGCCTGCCGAGAGCCCCAGGGAAAGAGCGGTGGAAGCGCCGGCGCGTCCCTACAGGACGCGCCTCAGCAGCACAGGCCCTCCCGAGAGCCGGACTCCGCTCCTGCCCCTTGGCTGACCCTCACCACGTGTCCTGCCCAGTCATCCTGGCTCATGGGACCTGCACCCTGTTGCCCTCCTGGTTCTTGGCCCGCGGCCCGTCCACAGCCATGCCTGTGTTTTGCCCTGATCACACACGCCCAGCTCCTGCTCTGACTCCGACTGGGCCTGTGCTATGGCACCTCCCACGGGACTCAGGGCCCTGCCTTTGCTGCCCTGGTCCGGGGTCTCCTCCTCGTTCTTGTGCCCTGCCACCCACGCCCCAGCCCCTGACGCAGACGCAGGCGCACACCCCAAGGTACGCGGTGACTTCCTGGGCTGGGTGCTCTCAGAGTCCGACCAGCTACTGTCGCCAGGTGGCGGCTGCCATGGCAGGTCAGCTGCGACCGCCCCGTAAGGGTGCCATGGCAGAGCATCCCCCAGCCCCCGTGTTGTGACATGCTGGGCTAACGATGGGTCTCAAACAACTGTGCACACACTAGGTATCAGGGTCCACACCCTGTGGGGGGCAGTGGGCACGGCCGGACCCTTGAGGGCATTATGGGCGCTGGCCCTGCACATGCGTGCGAAGCTGCCATGGTCTGCAGGAGGGGGGCAGCCTGGCTGGCCACGTAATGCCCGCTCCCCGGGAAGCAAAGCAGATGTGCCTACGGGCAAGTCCCTTGCCCAAGCACTGAACTCCACCGCAGGGCTGGAGCACGAAGCCCCAGACACAAACACTCCTCTGCGGGAAAGACGGCTCTGGGCAAGGGACCTCCACAGCACGGTGCCTTCCCAATTAACTGCATTTAAAATCAAAACAAGCATCAAGAGGGAAAGGAAGCCAGGTGGGTGTCAAGAGAGGTGCCTGCCGGCTTCCAACCAGAGATCCCAGACTTGGAATTGAAGACTGTGCTGTCTTCAAGACACATTCAGCCCAAGAGTTTCATCTGCTGCAGTTCAGTCTTTTAACTCAGCATCTGGTTTACTGACAAGACATCACTCTGGTTTTCTAAGAGGCTGCAAACTGCCTGGAATGGTTCCTGCGTACATTTTCTCCTGAAGAAGTTTGAGCAGCCAACAACAGCATCTGAAGTCCATGGTTAAATCCAGAGAACAAGACTCTGGTTGCACCGTCAGAACACAACTTGCTTCTCAGGGCAGGAGGGGAAAAATGCAACCGAACATGCCGGGGAAGAAATTTCCATGACGTCACAAACCGCAAGGCCACAGCCCGGCAAAAAAGGAACTCCAGGAAGACAAGGCTCCTCAGTCAGGGCAGGCGTTAAAATAACTCTCACTTCCTCCTTCACCTCCTCCTGCCGAGATCCGGAAAGCACCAAATGTTCACAGATGCCCACCCTCCCAGAGCAAGAGGGGAAAAGAAGGCTCGCTCCACAGCCGTTCCTGGGCTCCCGGAAGAAGCCGAACGAAGGCTCCCCTACTGCACGGCGCACATGACACTATTTCGGAAAGCCTACGCAAGGCAGGGGCATTACGCATGTTTGGGGGTGGTGGGGCAGAAACTGCTCCGAGTTGCAGATCCTCTGACCTCTGAGCTGAAGGACTGAGGGCAAACTCCCCACAGTGCGCGCTTGCACGCACACACACACACACACACACCCCAAAAAAAGTTGTATATTTCTACCCGTTCCAACAGCTGCAACGGATGCTTAAGTTCTGCTTCCTGTCAGCGTTCTTGCGAACCAGAGCATGACTGGCAAACCCTTTTCCCGGTGGGCTAACACCCTCCCTCCCTCGCCCACCCACTCCAGTCTGGCAGTGCCTGCCCGCATTCCTGAAGCAAAGTCAGGCTTAGTTTTTTTTTTAAATGGCATTCGTGAGAAACTCTTGCGTCAAAGCATCTGTGCTCTTTTTCATTGTTGTTCTAAACGCAAAACAATTCAGTCACCCCACAAAGCACCTCCATGGGTCACAGAGGCATGGAGGGAGAGTCGGGCCAGTCATTTCTGGCCACCCTGCTTTTCAGCAACCGAAAACTCCTAGTCCTCCAGGATGTTCAAGGGTGTTCAAGGATAGGCTAGACATGCACACGGGAGGCACGCTGTGAGCGGAGCCGGCTGGAGCCGGGGGTCAGACTAGATGGCCCAGGAGGACCCTTCTGACTCGCTGTGTTTCTATGACTGGAGAAAATAGGGTCATGAAGAGGTGTTTTCTCCTAGCCTCTCTGCATACCAGTAGTTAGAATGAATGTCCAGTATCAGAGGGGAGGAAAGGAGGTCTACCTATCAGTTTTGTTATTCATTTATAGCATTTGTACACCACTCCGCTATCTAATCAGATCTCAGAACGGCAAACAACAACAAAAATGAGGCCGATGAAAGAATGAAAGCAGTGCACTCAAAACAGGGCAATGTGAACAGCGTGCCCAGTCAGTCGGAAAGGCTTCCCAGGACCAAGACGTCTTCGACAAGGGCCCAAACAACACAGCAACTGAGTTCAGACAACACGTAAGCCATATTCAAGGGCCGAATGTGGGTTGCCACCCAACCATGAGTTGTTGAAACGTGGGTTGTCATGTCGGCTGAAGCCAGCCAAGGTAACAACTCGTACTGAACAACCCACCATTCCCAATCCAACAAGCTACCCACAGTTGTCATGGGTTGCTTGTGGTTAACAAGCTGTGCCTTGTTAGCACAGCCAAGTTCAGACAGCATGATAAATGTGGGTTACCTTCATGAAAGACCGGCTCCTGCAGGAGAGAAAAACTGGCGGAACTGCACGCTGCTCTCCTTCCTGTGAATCAACCCAGCTGCCGGACTCTCTGGGCTCCCTGGGGGCCGGCGCTGGGCACCATCACGAGCCACGGATGTCAGTTATCCACTTCAGGTTTCAGTCTAAACTTTAAAGGAACTACCCACCGTTCCGAGACATGGGTAGCTCCTAAGAGTTTGGACCAAAACCTGGAGTGGATACCTGACCCTACCAACACAGGAGCCCCCACCCCCACTGGAGTTAGGCACAGCTGCTGAACTGGGAACAGAGACTCTGGGCTTAAGCAGCTGGGCCCAAATCTGGGCTGGATCAGCTTTGCTGGGGGAAGTGGTGTTACCCCCCCACCTCCCCCCCAGCAGTCCCTCCAGCCCTCTGGGGATGCTACACAAGGGGCTCAGCGAGCCGCCAAGCCAAGGAAAGCAGAAGTACCACCCAAGAACGGAGCCCTTCTGCCAGTGCAAAGCAGCCACAGAGCAGCGCGGGCTCAGCCATCCAGGTGGCCACCTGTAACCAGGGCTAAGCACGGCTGAGGTTCCTAGCTTAGGCAACTCCCCGCTCGGCCAACCGTCGGTCCAAGGGTTCCTTACATCCTCCATCAGCGCTGAGCGGGGAGCCCTTTAAACCAAACCTATTAACGTTAGGTTCGCAACGCAGAGTTTCTGAGCGTGGTCCCGCCTAGGCTGTTTCCTATTCGCTCCCCTACCTCCTCCTCTTCGGACGTCAGCTATCCAGGATGGCCAGTTCTGACCCAGAACTCTCGGTCAGGGTTGTGCCCTCCCCATACTACGGGCAAACCAGCAAACCCACATCTGTTGAGGTTCTCCAAACCACACCTCAAAGCGTGTTCCAGCACATCTGCATCAGATGGACTACAGTTTTCCATGTTCTCCAAAGGGATGCAGTTCTCTTTCCCCCCACCCCATGCGTGGGCACACTGGAGCCGTGGGTATGGGCCACGGGCATGCCACAACGCAATTGACAGGGTGGGCCCACTTGCCCCGTTCCCGTGTGGCTGCCACAAAACACTCGTTCCCCAAAAGAGGAACTGGTGCGTCTTAGTGGAAAGTCACTGGCTTAAGAATCCAGTGAGAAGGAAGGAGGCACCCGAGTTCCAGAACGCCCAACCGCTCCTGGGAAGCCACATGAAGGTGGCCCTGGGGGGAAATGCTTTGCTTTGAGCACGCCAACCACCACTTTTGGAAGGAGGGTTCCGTGCAATTTTAAAAATCCTTTAGACACAGAATAAAAATTGGGAAGGGAAGGCGGCATTCCTGGCAGAACTGCAGACCCCAGGAGTAAAGGGAGTTCGGTCACATGTTCCAAGAGTGTGCTTTTTGTGCGCAGTCTTGAACGCGTCTCCACAAACTGCTCTGTGCACTCCGAGGCGCCTGGCTCTCGCCTGCAGTTTGCGTTTGGGTCGGTGCCTGTTGCTGGGAGGTGCTGCCTGGTCAAAACCCACTCGAAGCAAGTTTCCCATGCAAGCCTCGCCAGTCCACCAGGCACGCGGTCTCTCCCAACCCGAAGCCTCGCAGCTTTGACGGGGACGGGCTGTCTGCGGTGCTCAAAGGGGGCGGCCTCGAGCCAGCTGGGGAGGACGGTGGGGCTCAGGCACCTGCAGGATCCAGAAGCCAAGCAGCACCCTGCCTGAGGGTGCAAGCCACTTCCCAAGCTGACATCTGCTCACGCTGAAAATCTTGCTATTGTGTGGAGCTGGGAATGGGGAGGCAAGAAAGGGAAGAGGGAGAGAAGGGAGGTGGAGGAAAGCCCCAAACAAACCTCAGCTCATTGGAGCCACAAAGGGAGAGAAGAGAAGAAAGCAAACGAACTGGAAAGGAGAGGGGGAGCGAGCGAGCGAGAGAGACGAAGCGAGAGAACTGCAGCAGTCCCGCAGTGACCCCAGGGGAACGGAGTGAGTCAGGGCAGCCATATTGAGTAGGAAATTACTCACAGACGCTGCGTTCCTGCTTCTCCATTCCCAGGAGAATCAGCCTTTTGTAAATGGTTCCTCTGTCAGTTAAAAATAAAGGAGGGGGGAGAGGGGAAGGCAGTTCAGCACCTTCCTGTCTGTTGCTTCCCTTCCAGCTGAAATCTGAGCCCAGCCTTCCCCAAGCTCCAAATTTAGAAGCCAGACTGAAATTGGGAAAGCAAAGAGATGGGGAGGGAGATAGAGCAGGGAAGGAAGGAGGAAAGAAAGAGGTTGTATGGCCTATTCCAGGCTTTTTCATGCTCCAGATTCACACGTGGCAAGCAAACGTGCCGTCCGTCCCCAGATCTGCAGGCGCCCGTGCCCTCCGACCCGTGCCTAGGACACTACTTCATAAGGGGATGCTCTCCCAAAGATTTGGCAGGGTCCCACCTATCAAAGTGAGGGGTCCCGGCTTTGCAAGCGAAGGACCAGCCACCCCGAGGCGGCAGGAAACACTGGCTGAACAAAGGAACAAAGCCACGCAGAGAGAGAAGCAGGTCTGGCGTGGGAGGGCTCGGGGAAGCGTGTCTCTGGAAGACCAGGGCTGCGCAGGAACCGGTGGAGAAAAAGTGGCTGGCAGGGCCCCCGTTCACCGTCCTTGTGGGGCCCAAACAGTAATTCGATCAGCCTTTCCCAGCCTGGGTTGCCAGCTGTGCTGGGGCTACAGTTCCCATAATCCCCAGCTAACTTGATGCCATGGATTAGGGGAGCTGCAGTGCGACACGTCTGGCAGGCACCAGTTTGTGAAGACTGATAAGATGGAGGAGATGTAAGCTGCCTTGAGCCCTTTGTAGGAAAAAGGCAGGATATAAATCGAAAATAAACCAGGCAGTCTTTCGTCTTCAAAGAACCACACACAAGCAGGGGGGATGGAACCCATTCGTGGCAGCCCGTGCCACAGCCAGAGATGCGTGGACAGGCGAGCCCCGAGCCAGTCCAATTAGCACAAAAAGAGGAAGCCTGGAAACGAGTGGTTCTACCTAATGGCCCGATTGTACACAGAGAAGTCCGCATTTCGCAAGAGAAGCGTCTGCAGGTCCCACACAAAGCCTGGAGCAATGTTTGAATTTCCCCCAAATAAACAGTTTGATCAACAGTCCCGACCAAGGGAGTTAGCCCAACCAGTTGGGTGCATTTATGTATCAGTGAAGGCTACCAGAGTGCAGGAGAAGATAACCATGCATGCATGATGTTAGTGGTGGTTCTGATAGTGGGAGGCATGTGTTTTAAAGGTTTCTTTGCTGGATCAGAGCAGGCAAAAACAGTCCCCCTGCTGCCATTTTGTTGTAATGCTGGTGCTCTGCCACTAGGGGCCGGTAGAGCAGCACTGGTGCCCATGCCTCTCACAAGTGGTCCAATACTGCCACCTAGTGGCTGAGCACAGCAGAGGAAGAAGACAAACGACTTCTGTTGGCAGCAGGTACAGGAAGCTGCCGCCCCCACACTGCAGCCTGCAGCCACAACCAACAAGCAAGCAGGGGGCCTGGCATGGGGCGGGGCAGCTGCAGCTTCAAAACTCCTGTGATCAGAACCACCAGGCAGGAGTGGAAGCAGGGAGGAAGCACAAGAACCTTTGCAGACAATGTTTTCTGGGTGATCGGCTCCCAGAGCATCCCTTTCAACGCCATGCAACAGTACCACCAAAAGCTGGGAGCTGGATCATAAATACACATTACCCCCTTGCTGCCCCAAATGTGGGAGTCCAAACCCGCTAACAACACAGCACATGTGTTAAGTTAAAAGATGCTGATACGTTATTTGGGCCCCATCCATCACAGGGACGTCACGCCCAAGGACTTCTCAGAAATGCAATCGGTTGACCCAGCTGTGCTCAGTCCAAGCCAACCCACAGGCACATCAAGACCGACTCACGGCCAGGGTTTCAGGCCAGAAACCATCCCATTCTCCCCAGGCAGTGACAAGCATCGACCCTCAACTGCTCGGCACCTACGCTCTGAGCCACCCAAGCTTTCCAAGGTGCCTGCAAGAGCAGAAGGAAGCATCCCTTTTCACACCCAAGGGCGGAATTCACGGCCAGCAGGATCCACAGCAATAGCAAGCTGGAGTCCAGCCCGGGAGAAAAAACGCTTCTGGCTGAGCTGTCGGCTCGCTGGGTGGCCTCAAGCTAATCACAACCCATGCGTTTTTTGCCCCTCCATAAAAAAATAAGGGTAACTACAACAGTGATGTTAAAAGCTTAACAGGAACAACATCCATACAAGAGAGTGTCGAACAAATAAGGACTCCGTGCAGCAGGGCCGTGGGGCAGCCTCTGGCTTGCTCCACGGGCCTCCTCTGCTCACCAAAGCCCCAGTGGGAGAGCCACCTGGACCCACAGAGCCAGGCTGTCCGGGCTGAGAGGACGGAGGCATCACCTAATGGCCCCGGGCACTCACCATTGCTATCCATTGCTTTGAACTTTCTCCCCAAAACGTCCCTCTCAAGTCCAGACTGAGTGGACAGGCGGTCCTCCTTATGCCACTGCCCCCAGCCCCAGGGGGCAAAAGGGTCCCAACTCCCAAACCCTGGGCCACGTGATGCCCCCCCCCCCGCTTCATTCTGCCCCTCCGAACCTGCACGAAAGAAGGAAGGCTGACAGAAGATGAGGTAGAGTTTTTTTGCCTGAACGATCTCCACACTGGAATTTCAGTCACCAGAAACCACGTCCTGGGAGGAGACATGCGTGGGGGCAGCCCACTTCGCAGTTCAGAGCAAGCTTCTGCCCCAAGCTGCCCTTTTGGCATGTGGCTCTGCTTGGTGGGCCTTGGATTTCTGGTCAAAAAAGAACAACCACCCTGCAAGGTTGCCCCATTTTTGCTTTTAACTCGCAACACACAAAACAGAGTATCAAAGGAAAGCATTCCCACTAACTCCATCAACTAGCAGAATTAGATCTCTGGAAGTTTGGGACTTCAGCTCCTAGTAAGCCTTGGCCATCGGCAATGCTAGCAGGGGATGATGGGAGTTGAAACATCTGGAGTGCATCTTCAGGAATATGGGTCCAGCATGTCTCAGTTTGGGGGATTTGCCTTCCTAACAAAACTTTTTTTCTAAAAGCAGGTTTGAGTTAGATATATTTTACTATTTCACCCTTCATATTTATTTTGCTTTGGTTTTAATTAGTACCTAGAATTGCTGTTGTTTGCTTTTTGGCCCAATTTTAGGAAAGATGACATCAGAAATGAATCGTCCTCTTGCATGGAGCCAACATCCCACTCAACAACTGGCCAAAGGTTTAGACCAAGTTTTGAAAACCATGGAAGGAAAAACATTGTCCAAAATAAAACCAGGGGTGCTGAAAAGGAAAAAAAGAAGGGGGGGTTGTGAATCAGAGCCTGCTCTAACCCCACAGGACCATAAAGCAGTTTCATGGCCATGAGATGGCACTGCAAGAGACAGGTTTAAATGGTGCAGCACTGGGAGCACTGGGACCACCAGCTCCCGGCACCCTCATCCCAGTCAGCTCTAGCTGGAGCTAGCTGGGCGAACCAGGAGGCAGGGGCTCCGCGTATCTGAAGGGTGCCAAGCGGATGGAATGGCTGCGCCTGAGCCTTCTGCTTACAGCGGTGGCCGGTGTCCCACGACATCCTGTGAAGATGCAAAGCGCGCCTCCAACAAAGCGGCCAGAAAACACCTCTACGCACACACTGGTTTGGGGGGGGGGGTCTGAGGGGTGTGAAGAGAGGTGCTTACAAAAGCTGGTCAACACAGCAGCTGAACCGCCCCCACCTACTGACCCCCTCTCGGAGGCAGAGGGAAACCCCAGCAGATCCACCTTGCTTTTCGATAGAATGCTCTTGGGGTGGGCTTTGTCTTAAGAAAATGTGGTACAACTCAAGCCAGACCAACAAAATACCCAGTACCCCATGCTTGGGGGATGAATGTGAGCTGATGAACTGAGCGACTCTGGTGGAAACAGGAGCAAACATATCATCTGAAACCAGCTGTGTTAACAAGCCGTGTTAGCCACAAACAAACCATGGTTTGTAGTTGGCTGGTGAACCATGGGTTGTTCGATATGGTTTGCTCTCTTGGCTGTGCTCAGACGTGACAACCGTGTTTCAGTTCAATGACAGCCCACCCTCAACCCCAGCAGCATGGACTATTGTGCCATCTGAACACAACCACTCAGACTGTTCCCCAGCTGACCAAGCAGGAGGCACAGGTTACTCTGTAAGTCACCCCCATCCAAAGGAAGACCCAAACAATAAGTCTAGTGCTCAAAATACATGACAAACGCAGTACAAAAGGTGAGACACGGGTCCCCTGCTTTGCTGCATTTTTACAGAACATTTCAAAAAGATTAGGCTGTTTAAGTGGACTATACTCCATTCCCCTTTCTTCCTACTGTCCTTTTTCTTAATTTCCCCATGACTCTCTTTTGTTCACTGGCTTTGCAGTGAACTTATTTAGAATATTCAAAGTGATAAATAAGGTAGGAAAGCAGGTAAGCGCAAGGGGAAGGGATAGGACAGGAAAAAAGGGAGGAAAAATACAATCGGACATAGATAGCTATACTTTTCTATGTACTCATGCCTATTTAGAAAAAAACTATTAAAATTGATCACAAGGGAAAAAGCAGGGGCCTCTAGTCTTACCTCTGTAATGAACTGGATGCACTCAAGAAACATGTAATCCTTATGGTGCTCATTCACCACTTTCTCATCAACAAAATGACGAGGCTCCAGGTTTGGATGATCTGCAAAGAGAGGGCGGCATTTCAGAGCAGCTTTCCCCCCGACCCCCCACGACACCTGAAACAACTGTGACGCTGCTGTCTTAGACCGAGCCAATGGAGCGACTTGGGACCAGGCACGGTTCTCTCGGACTCTCGGGCGACCTCACAGGGTCATTGCTGTCGATGAGATTGAGAGCAGGAGCTGAATGATGTAAGCCACTCTGAGTTGCTCATAAGAAAAAGCAGGATAGAAACCTAATAAATAAAAATTGATGAAAAGCCATGGCTTATGTCAGGGATAAGGAACCACAGGGCCAAGGGCTAAATTTGGCTCCTAGAGACCCTCATGGGCTCTTCTCCTGGTCCAACCCAATTTCCGCGTAGCTTTTTCCTCATTCCGAAAGACTGAAATGTTCTCCTAGGCCCTACTTCCTGGCAGAAAGAACCTTAAGCTAAAACACACCCACACCTTTGCAATTTTGACCCCTCTTCTTTCGCCTCTCCACCCCTGGAGCATGCGCCTGAGAGAACACGAATACAGAACTCCAGGCCTGCGAAGCAAACCCAGCCCACCCGGGGCCCCAGGCCAGCCCTGCAGAGGACTTCATTTTCCTGGTGAAGCCCGAATTTTTTTTTCAGCAGGACAAAATAACTCTGCCTGGCAGGGAGGGGAGCGGAGAGGGGCCCCCGGCTGCCCACCTATCAGCTGTGAGCTGCCCCATATGAAGGGCAGGAACTGAAAGTCATCCAGCCCCCAGACGCCCTGGCTGCCAGCCGGCTCCATGCGATAGGTTTTCTGGAGCTTCCGCATCACTTCCAAGTACCTGGAAGGAAACATCAACAACCAAAACAGAAGGTCAGCTTCAAGCTGGTGGGCCCAACCCTTATTCCCCCAGTCAGGAAGCGAAGACTGATGCAGCCACCTGGGCGGCCCGGTCCATTCTGCAAGTCCTTGCAGGGCTGGCACAGGGTCTGGCGGTTCCACACCCCTGGAGCAAGATGGCGGCACGAGCCACCAAACCCCGACAGGGATGCTGAGGCAGAGTGGCTGCCTCAGGCCTTAGAGAGGCCGTGGCCGCCGCAAAACCGAAAATGGGAGACTTCCGCTGCTCCTGTGTGGAGCTGCCGGGCGGTGCCCCCCGCAGAAAGGGCACTGGCGGGTCCTGCTCTCGCCCACCCCGGGGCTTCACCTGTTGAAGACTCTGAAGACGATGGCGAGCTGGTCATCCACCCGGAGGACACCGATTTTACAGAGACAACAGAGGAAGGCGGCGAAGGCGGCCTCGTGGCCTGAGATGGAAGCACAAAGAAAACCCGGGTCAAGCCCCGTGGGCTGGAATCCAAGGGGCCCTTGCTATTCGCCCCAAAATCTGCTCCAACTGCCCATTCGGTGCGGGACCTGCCCTTGGGGCTCCAGCACTCCCCAGCGAAAGACACAGGATAGCCAAGGAGAAAGCTGCAACACCGCAGGACCCCTGGCCACGGCCACCGTTTGTGGCCCCTTTGCCGTGAGCCTGTGTCCCACGTGGAAGAACCGGGGGGTGTTCCAGAACCCCACAGGGGGAGGGGGGAAGACGCCAGGCGGCAAGAGCTCTGCCCAGCTAGGTACCTGTCCCATAGTCGATGCGGGTGGAGTTCCCCACCGACTCCTTCAAGTACACGGCCACCTCGGGGATCGCGTCCGCCTGCTGCTTGGGGACCACGGTAGCGACCAGGTTCTCTGCACCCTGCGGAAGGAGCCACAGCCAAGAGCGTGAGGCGGCGACAGAGACCCCCAGGCCCCGGAAGGAGAGGTCCAAGGCAAAGATCTGGGCTGCGTGGCCCCTGGGCTGAGGGGTCTCCATGTTCTTTTAGCTCAAGGGCCACATTCCCCTTGCGGGAGATTCTCGGGGTGCCTTCCAGGGCGGGTGGGGCTGAAAGCCAAAGCGTGAGGCTTGAAGACCAGCCTGTTTAAGCTCACTGCCAGTGAGCCAGTCTTAGGAGAAGGGCGTCAGCTTCCTAGCATGGAGGAAAAAGGTTGCGCAAAAGCTGGGAATGACCATGGCCTTGCGAGCTGGACCTCCGGTGCCCCTGCGCCAGGCCTTCCCCCCTCAGAGGGGCAGTTCCGTCACTTGACGGTAACAGAGCAAATAGCACAAGATGGCGCCGAGTACGTGATTTAAAACAGTAGCAACAGAAACCGCAAACCTTTTGTCCTGGCCGAAAAACAGAGTGGGGCAATGTGCAAATGTGACACTCCAAGCCCTTTCATGCTGATACGTAACAATAGGAAAATGACCATTTTCACTTTTTCATTGATAAATGGGAGAAAAAAGGGAATTCAGGTTGCAAGGAAATAAATCTGCTAGCTTTATTAAGATTTTCCCCCTCTGCTGCCTGTGACAAGGCTACTGCGCCATCAGCAGAATCATCTGGCCTGCCTGTGCCAGACTGGACCCCTTCCTCCTGCCAGGGAAGCGGGCACAGGGAAAAGGGCCGGCACGGGTGCTCTCTGGCGCACGGAAACCCAGTCAGACTGTTAAGGACCTAGAACTCTCTTCTCTTTCAAGGCATCACGGAAACCAAGGAAAGCTTTCTTCTGGCCCTAAGGAGCAGCACCAGAGGCCCTGTCCAGAAATCACACCCAGCCACCCCCTTCACTTGCCTGGTCTAGTTTGGCGTACCACGTCCGGAAGGCCTTGTTCCCAAAACGAGAAGGCTGGTCCACTGGGGGGGTCTCGTCGATCCACCTGTCAAGCATGTTCAGCAGAGCTACCAGTTTTTCGATGGGCTGGAACCAGAGGAGGGTAAGCAGTTAATTAGGAGAAAGTCAGGAGGATACGGCCGCACACCCCGCTCCCGAGCCCGCCATCACATTTCCAAAGAGTCCAGCTCGCTGTCGCTGCACAGGTGCCACAAACAGCTACCCTGAGGGTTCTCGCGTGGACTGCGTATTGCTCCCCTCCCAAGAAGCACGCGTGGCAAGAGAAAGGAGCCCAGACAGGGTCCCTGAGGAACAAGGCAGAAGCGTCAAACCACTTGACAGGGCCCACAGGCTTGCAAGAGAGCAAAACACCCGTGGAGGGGCAGGGGATAAGCCCTCCCGAAAAACCAGTGCCATGAGAACCGAGTGGCCTCTGCCCCACAACCGGCGCCATGAGAACCGAGCGGCCTCTGCCCCAGACCGGTGCCATGAGAACCAAGCACAACTCCAGGATTTTGAGTCCCAGAGTTGGTGTTGGTCATTAGGCTGACCAAACGTTCACCAAAAAATGTGTGGGCTTCGGAAACCTCCAGATCTCTCCATGAGGCAGGGCGTGGTTGTGAAGCCTGCAAAGCTCACACTGTTTGGGGGCCTAATGAAGGACTCAGACTGGCGTGGCCCTCAGAAGCCTGCAGATGACCCATGAGGCCAGTCCTCGCTGCTGCAGAAGGCCAGGTGTCAGTCGGAAGGGAGAAACCGAGGAGCCGGAGGGGTGGTACACGGAGAGCAGCGCTGGGAGAATGGCACGGCAGGCCAGCCGGCAGCCTGAGGAGAAGCGCTCCTGTTAGGCTTTGGGGGTGCAGCGCTCTGCCCTGTGCAGGCCCCTTTCCGACGCAGGTGCTCCAAGCATGAGCAGAGCAGCAGAGAACATCGCACCAGGACACGTGAGACCGTGGCTCCCCCGACCAGCCTGCCCCGCCACCAAGGCCGCTGGAGGAGGCGTGCCCGGTGGTTCTCCAAGGTCTCTGTGGAGTCCACGCAAAGGAGGGCCCTGTGGAGCTCCTTGCCTCTTGATGCCAGGGAGGCACAGGTGCCGTAAGAGGGATGGATAGCTCAACCAGCCTTCCCTGACTGAGCAACTGTGTTTTTATGGGTCTTATCAGATTTTAAAGGTTTAACTCTGTATTTCTATTGCTGAAACAGACACAGACATGCAGTATTAGGACCTTTGAAATCAGACGATACCTATAAAAATGTGCGCTGGTCCATCTAGGAAGGCTTACAATAGTCGTATTAGCGTTAATTATTAAATTCTTATTTCCCTTGCATCATTCAGGGCACAGATATTTCATAGGCTGCAGAGCGGCATGTAATTCCGCTCTGTAAATCGAATCTGCTGCTCCACCTCAAAACCGTGGCAGCCAAGCTTAGCAGCGGCTCCAGGCAGGAATTCCTCCTTGAGGGGAGAAAGGAAGGACATGGCAGCTCTGACTTTGCCGGAGGCATTCGTTCGTGAGAAATCTTCCGGTCTCCCAGGCCGGAGCTCCATCCCTCAACTCTTGTCAGCAGAAGGACGGGAAAACTGCCGAGGCTAGCAACTTCTGCAGCCTTTGACGCAACACCCGAGGGGCGTTCGAAAGACAGCATTGTGCCGCCCGCAAGCCCAGAGAGCAGAACCCTCTTCCTTAGCAGATGTGCTGGGCCACAATTCCCATCAGCCCCTGCCGGGGAGGTATTTCATCCTTTCCAAACGGGGTGGGAGTAAAAAAAAAAAACACTGCACAGAGCTGGGAAATCACCCCAAAACTGGCATTCAGGGAAAGGGGTGAGGCTAAAGGGAAATGCCAGGAGGCCCAGTTTTGGTCAAGGGCTCTGCACCCCAGCACTAAGGGCCAGGCAGGCACGGAAGCAAGGCCGGCCCAAGGAGGGGCTGGCCTCTGAGCGCCTCTTGGCTCACGGCTGTGAAAGAGCCCGGCGGTTCACCCCTCGCAGTTCGCCCGGCACAGCACCAAGTCCCCCACCGCAGGACCCTCCGTGCCAGCTGCAACGCGGCTGCGAGCGGGGCGGCCCTCCTCTCCGACCGCCTCCCTTCGCACACCACTGACACAGCCGTGCAAGGCTCCATCTGGGAGGGGAGGGGAGGGGAGGGGAGGGGGAGAAGTGACAGCCACGTCCCCCTTCCCTTTGCTCACCAGCATGAAAGAGGCTTCGTAAAGGGAGCCCAGCTGCAGAGACCGGCAGACCAGGCAAAGCAGCCGGGGCAAGCGCCTCCGTCGCGTCAACACATAATTAAGAGGAGGCACAGCAGGGCGTCTGGCGCTCCAGGCTCTTCTGGGTGGGCTGGGTGGGGGGCTGATTAACATCAGGCTGCTCGCCGGGGGCTCGCAGAACCGTGGCAGGAGCAGAAATGGCGGGCAGCCTCCCCGCCCCACAGTCTTCCTGGAAGCAGGAGGCGGGTTGGACGAAGGGGCAGCCTGTGCCACGTGCCCAGCTGGGCAGGCCTCTCGCCCGGGCCCAGCGGTGCCTTCCTCCCCATCGGGACTTTACCTGGGGAAGCGCCAACCAGGGGCTGCCCGCCTGACTCGGGCCCTGGCCTCTGGGACTCTGAACCTCCTGAGCACCAAGCCTGGGGCACAAAAGGAGCCCATGTCCAGCCACTGCCACCAGCTCAAGGGAAAGGGATGCGGGGCAGCAGTGCCAAGCGGCAGATCCAGCCCGCCTGGCACTGCCAGCCGCTCCCCCAGCGTCCCCAGACAACCCCTGCTTCCTCCTTGCGGACCTTGGTTGGTCGGTCTCCCAGCCCTCTGGGGGCCCCCGCCTTCACCTCCCTCACAGCCTGTTCCAAATGGCTGACACACCTCTGTGCAGGCTCTGCCCCAGTCCATAGGAGCCGCCAACTGCTACACACTGGCCCTTGGGCTCGAATTGGGGTTAGGGCCCCTTGCTCCGGGCCCTCCCCTTTCCCTTGGCTCCGCCCACCACTCAAACGTGGCCCACGGGATGTCTCCACAGTGGACTTGGGGCTGAAATGGTTCTGCAGGCCGGTGTGTGGTGGAGGCCATGGAGAGCCTGGGGAGAAGAGGCACGCTGAGGCCCCCATTCGGCCCTGAAGTTCACTGGGTGCTCGTGGGCAATCGCCCGCCCTGCCTCTGCCCAGCCCACCTCACAGGACTGTTGTGCAGGCAAGATGGGAGGAGTCAGGAAGGAGGACAGCACACTGGGGCAACCAATAAACGAAAACGTGGGAACAGGCACAGGATCCAGGACCCGACCTTTCCTTTCATTGTTATTACGGGATTTCTTTAGTTGGGTGGCTTTTATAAAGAAGCAAGTTTCCAGCTGTCGAGGCTGAAGAAACAGGCTTCGGAGTTTCTGCCTAGCAAGGCCCAGTCAGGGTCCCCGGGAGCGGCGGAAGGGAATGAAGGGCTTCTGAGAAGATGCACAAAGTTGGGCAGGGAGCACAGGCTTCTTCCAGGCTTCTTTTTGGAAAAAGCAGCCTAGGACCAGGAAGGGAAGGCGCAGCGCGTGATCTTTCGCCCACCTCGGAGACCTTGTATTCACAGGTCAGCTTCTTGCCCTTGATGCCTTCATTCAGCGTGAGAATAAAGCCGATGTAATCCGCGTAAGCCTGTCAAAAGCACACAGAGAGAGTGGAAGGGGGGACATTAGCAGATGGTTCCAGGAAGAGCTCGCAAGCTCCCCGCATCGCCCCGTGCCAAGATCCAGGGGAAGTGGCACGAACCAAAGGCAGGCCTTGGGCACGATTCCGGTGCTGCTCTGCTGGGGCTTCTCTAGCTGGGGCACTCCACGAGCACCTCTTTGCTCGAGAGCCACGGGCCACGGCTGCATCGCATGCAACACGCAGGCAGGCATGGTGGTTGGTGAGGGAGCAACGAGATGCCGAAAAACTGGGAATAAGGAGAGAGACATGCCTGTAGGAGGTAATGAACACACAAGCAGCAAGAGGGAGCGAGGACAGAAAGAAAGAAAACAGCAACTGGAGAACACTGCAAGGCTAAGGGATGGAGGAGAAGGGGGAAGTCGTAGGAGCAGGAATACTCTGACGTGTGTGTAGCGGGGCGGAGGAAGGAGGCAGCTCAGACGAAGTCCCCTCCTCTGCTTGGACCTTCTGGGTCAGGGAGTTCTGACGCAGACTGAGTCGCACACGTGCCGCCCCAGCTGAGACTCTGGATCGCCTTGCTACAGGCCAGAAGAGAAGGCGCCCCACTCCAGAGAGGGTCCAGGAGCACCGCGGTGCTGATCCAGCCACTGCCCGCCCTTCCGTCGCTGCCAGCTTTTTGGGACGGCCTCTCCCTCTGCTACCACGGCATGTGTCTGGCGCTCTCACGGGAGGGCCAGCTGCAGCGATTCGACACAAACTCGCGCAGGGCTGCAGCGAGCCCTGGCCTCAAGGGGCTGGGTCCAGGGCCCCCAGGTCATTGCCCCCAGAGCAGCAGCAAACAGGCCCAGCCTCGCTGCCGAGCCAATACGGGCATCGCGAGGCCCACTGGAGGAGATGCCGAATGTTTTGAAAAATTGCTCAGCTGACTGGGTGCGTGCCTGAGTGCAGATGCTCACTTCCTTTATTTTTTACTTCGAAATCCTATTGTCCTTAAAGCGGGGCTGGTTCCCAAGTAAATGCAATCAGCCCCAGGGCAGCAGGCGCAAGCTCCACGCAGTTCCTGTGATCACAATGGCACCATGACTGCCATGCGCAGAGCGGCGCACGCTCAAGTGCTTCTTCCAAATCAGAGTTAGGGAGGCAGAAGTGTCGCCTGAGCTGCTCTTGCACACGGGGACCAGAGACGCTGTGGCACAGCGTGGAACCACAGTGGGGCAGCGGGAGAGGAGCGAAGGGTGGGCTGGGGCTTCACAGCCGAAGCGATGCACCCGGCCACAAAGGGAAGGCCCCCGCAAGAACGCTCAGGGACTCAAGTTGCCTCACTGCACCCCTGAGATTGTCCCAGGCTGAAGCACCCTGAGAAATGCCTCCTGAGGGAAACGTGCTGAGCGGGCCTGCCCCCTTCCTCAGCGGCCCCCAGTCAGAAGTCTTCCTGACTGACGCAAAGTAGAGAAGTGGGTGCCCACCCACCTTGAGCTGTGAGATCAGCGGGTGGTCTCCAACTGATGGTGGTGGAAAGGACAGCTGGCTCTCCCCAGCCCAGCTAAAAGGCATCACCCTGACAGGCCGGTTTCCTACATGTGGGAAGCATGTGCGTCTTGCGTCCAGGGGTGGCCCTTCCCCATCCCAACAGCCACCCGAGGAATGTCTGTGAAAGCATTTTTCCAGCAAGGAGATAGGAGAAGAAACAAACTGCAGAGGGGGAAAAGGGGGCAGGCCAGCCAAGAAAAAGAATAGATGCAATGCAAACCTTGCTTCAGTTAATATATTCCTGTCCATCAGTAGCCTGGATGCAGAAAGGTGGAAGTAGCTCATTCTGCCAGTGCAGCTGGATTTTTTTTCCTCTTCCCTTCCCAGCCTGTTTTTCTTCTGTGCCATGCCTTTTCAGATGGCAAAGCTTTTCAACCAAAACTGCAGCACAGAAACACTTCAGATAAATATATAAAATGAATGATGCTGTACCTGAGAACGTTTCCACTTTGCCATGTCAGGGACCATGTTGATTTCCTTTCTGGGGACCATGAATTTCTGGCTGGGCGGAGGCGCTGCCCCCTCAGCGGACTCTGCAGGGGAGGGAGAAGGCGAAGGATGAGGCCCGGGACGCCTGGATCTTCCGTACTGCAGATACTGGCGGCGACTGTTTCTTGAGAAAATATTGTTAGGCTGCATAATTAGAGGGAAAAATCCCAGCATGCCCCAGGAGGGTTCCAGGACTCCTTTTGGTCTGCTGGGTACACCAACATAGGATCACTCACTTAATCAAGTGACCACCCTGCTCTTTCGGAAACCCACTACCCATGGGCGGGCGGCATGGCGCCTTCCGGCAGCGTTCCTCCCCGAGGCGATGCGTTCATAGCAAAAGACAACGGCAAGGCCGAGCCTCATTTTGCTCCTGCGCAGCTGTGCTGGCACTACATTTTCAGTGTCAGAAAAGCAAGCCTGCACAGATGCGGAGCATCGGTGCTGCATGCCCCAAAACGGTCCCCATGCGTGCGCGTGCACACGCGCATTTAAATGAAGAAGCAGCACTAAGTAGGTCTATAAGAGCTTTGGCTATGGACGGTATAGAGAAGGCATAAGCAAGCAAGTAAGTAAATAAGTAAAATGGTGGGGGTGGGGGAATTAACAGAAATTCACGAGTGAATACACCTGGCGGCCAAAAGCAAAGGGTGCGCAAAATTGTTCAGTCAAACATCAGTTGTCTACACAAGAGCAAGGAAACGGAACCTGCATGGGCAGGAGCAGTCTCTCCCTGCCACGTGGTTGACGCGATTGGTCCTTCCCAACCTGGAGCACTCCAGATGTGCTGCACAACGACGTTGTTGGCCAGAGAGCCAAAGGGCCCTGGGGAGCTGCAACCCTGCCTCCAGGGACAGCTGCAGCAGCCACGGGGAGACCAGACTGCGAGGAGCTCATTTTACCCTTCCTGGTCAGAAAGGATGCTGATAAGAACCGAAACTGAATTTGGCTGGAAAAAAATTCCTCCTCCCTCCCAGCCCCCTTGTCCTTTTGTGTCATGTCTTCCAGGGACGGCCACGCTATTACTCTTTTTGAGCAGCTTTGGGAACATCTTCCAGCTGAAGAGCAAGGTTAAAAGGCTGTAAAGAAGCAAGCTCCCAGCATGCTGTCTGGGGGATGCTGGGAGCGGTCCAGGTCAGGCCCCCGGCCTTCCTAGCCTTGCTTCAGGGAAGAGCCTCCTGGGCAAATGGGCAGCTCCTCTGACCCACCAGGCTTGTGTGGCCAGGTCTCCCATAAGCAGCGCATGAGAGAAAGCGAGCGCGCGAGCAAGCGGGCTCGCATGGAGAACAGTTCTCACATGCACCAGAGGCGCAGAGGAGCGCCACCTGATGTAATCGCTCTGGGGCGGGGAGCTAGCGTGAACAGGCCCCCTTGCTTCAGGAAGTCATCTTCATGCGCTGCTTCCTCCTCGAGGATGGCACAAGCCGCAGCGCCGCTGGCTTGCCCAGCCGACTCCGAGCAAGCACACTCCGGAAGGGCCCCTGAGCCCTTCGCGAGGGAGCCATGAGGAAAACGCGGAGTGCCAAGGCGCACAGTCAGCAGGCTCCGGCCGCTGCCGCCTCGCCCAGGTGCACGGCTTGGCTCCTTTCTTCCCCACTAGCCGGGAGGGAGACAAGAGCTTAAGAGCTGCTGCGCCTGCCTCCTGCCTTGCTCGGAACCCCACCCGGGGCCTTCCTTTCCGAATTTCCCCACTTTCGGGGATGAATAATGCATGGAGCCACATTGCTGTCTGCATGGTGGCAAAGAAAGAAAGAATGTCTCAGAGCAGACACATTTGCCGGGGAAGCGAGGGCTTGGCTCGCTTCCAACAGAAGCCACAACCAGATCCTCAAAATATCCATCCAAAAGCAGATGGCTTCAAGCCACCAGGCCTGACGTCCGAGACAATCGCTCCATGAGGTGGGCCCCAGTCTCCTGGCTCTCACACTTAGATCTGCCTTTGCACTCCTTGCAAGGAACCCATGACGGCCCACAAGGTCTACCTCCCCCTTCTCCTCAGGACAGCCCTGCAAGGCAGGCTCGCCTCGAGTCAGTGAGTGGCTTCATGGCCATGTGGGGGCCAGGGAGTTCCACAGCTAAATGGGGACCCAAGCCTAGGCCTCTCCAGTCAAAGGCTCTCACCTCTACACCAGCTCCCTGCAACACCATCCTGGGGCTTTAGCCTGCAGCTGCCATCGGTCTGAGCCGGCGTGGGAGCTGTTGGCCAAAGCATCGCAAGCACCACAATTCACGCACCCCTGTACGAGACAGAATCATATGTTTGCATGTCACAGAATGCAAGGGCCAGGGTGTCTGGGGAATCCCAGCCTTGAGAACACCCGCTGCTTCACACAATCGCCAGTGTCAGAGTTCCCACATTTCGTCTCCCTCCAGCCTCACCACTGGCACCAGACAAGCCAGGAATTCTCCACCCTTCTCTGTCCATGGGATGAAGCAGGCTGTGGTCCACAAAAGCAAAGAGCAGGATAAACGCATTCTCAGCAGGCGCCACCGAGATCCTTTGGCCACAGGCACACACTCGTTCAGGCCAAACAGGCCCAGCAACTTCCAGCACTCCCCAAACACACATAGGACCGCGGGGCTTTTTCATGCATAGGATCGCTCCCTCCCTACGCAAGCAGGGCTTTTTCATGCATAGGATCGCTCCCTCCCTACGCAAGCAAGACCCTGTGCAACAACGCAGGGGCAGCAAACTCTGTAGGGCCATTTCTTCCGCCCAAACATGCACAGGGTCTCGCCTTGAGTCATTTTTGCAGAACTCACTTCTCCAGCACCAATCTGGAATTTAAACTGGTTATGCTAGGAAGCCCAAGCAGTAGAGTTGCAGGCATCGCCAGCTATGTTGAATATTCCAGCTTCCTCCAAGAGACCCAAAGACCCACACATACCTCTGCCCATCCTCAGAATGGCCCCAAGTTAAGGAACCTGCTGGAAGCCAGCTGGGAAGGTTCACAGCAAAGCCTGGATGCCCAGCCCTGACTTCCTGCTCCGAGCCAGTTCCCTCCAGACCACCCCAACGGAAACCCCTCTGTGCCTGCTGTCTTGTTAGCATATTGACACCAACCCTGTAGGGAAGGTTAGTGTTAGCACCCTATCACAGCCACGTAGAGGCTGAAATAACATGCCTTGCTGAAGAAGTAACAAGCAGACCATTACCCATGAAAGCCTTCAGGGCTTGAAGCAGGAGGGGAAATCTGTCCCATGAGCGTCATAAAGACAGAACTTTTGAGCTGCAAACGGCTTTGGGAAATCTGCGAATCACAGGACAGAGATGCTGCAAGCAGCAGGTAAGGCCACCAGGCCCAGCCCTTGCTCAGTGCTCAAATAAACAACCCACATGTGTCTCCTAGGAGAAGGGCAACATACCCAGGTATCTGCAGAATGGAAAGCTCGAGTGAGCGAGCCAATGGGCACACAAGTAGGGAACCCAAGCCTCCTCTAGGACTGTGCAGGGAACAGTGCGAATCCTTGCCATTGTTACAGCAAAAGCACAACTCCAAGTACAGCCAGCTGGGGATGATGTGTGTTGTAGTCCAACAACCCTTGTCAGTTGTGTAGAAGAAGGCCAAACTAACTCCTAGCTCATAAACAACTTCAGAGCTCCCTTCCCGAGAACAGGGCAGAGTGACCGAGAAATCCTCAGCAAACATGGGATTGTGGTATCTTGCACTGAAGACAGCTGACCCCAGTTCAAGGACATGTACACTCAAGGGCCATCTAGACCAGCCTTCCATCGCTGTTATTTTTAAAATCCCATTTCTATACCCTCTCCCATAGCCAAAGCACCCTGGGGTTCTATCCAATGTTAGACTCACTCCAGAGTAATCCCACCAAAACGAATGGGGCTCGGGGCGGGCTAGCTGCCAGGACAACCCCATGGGAGGAGCCCACCCCAAATGCCTGCCGGCATCACCCACAACAATCTCAGCCTACCATTATGGGACACATTCTTGTCTTCTGCATATTGCATAATACACAAATAGCATTCCCTGTACACCACCTTGAGGGAGTTTGACCCTTAAGGAAACCCTAAAAGCAATTTAAAATTTACTCATAACATCTATGTCCTCTTCGCCCTCACAAGCCACTCAAGCCCCCACAAACCCCACACATTACATGAAAAAAGGAGAACCCCCACACACATGTGCGCGTAGACACACAAAATCTACAGACCCTACGAAAGGAGAGGGGTCTCACGCTTGGGGCCCCAGTGATGTGGGCATGCATTAGAAGAGGCACCCCCCAAAAGGTGCCACATCGGCCGCATTCCGCCCTGTCCTGCTGTTATGGGGCCCGTCCCCGCTTCCGGTAACAGGCGCGGCAACAGCCGCCACCCGCCACCCCTCCAGCGCGCTCCCTTACACAGCACGACAACCCTGCAAGGTAGGCCAGTGCGAACCAGAGGCAGGGCTTCCCCTTGGTCCGCCTTCTCCCGCCGGGCCCCCACGCAGGGCTTCCTACCCGGCTGACGCTCGCTTTCAGCCATCTTCCCGGAGCCGAAAGGCCGCCGCAACCCGCCGCCGTCGCCTTTCAACTCTTCACCACCTGACAGGAGATAATAACCGTCGGCCCGCCATCTTAGGGACGGGCACGGCCGCTTTTCCCAATGGGCGGAGAGGGGAAGCGAGCTTGTGGCGGCCATCTTAGCCACGGGCACGGCCACTTTCGCCCTTCGTTTCGAAGGCGATGAGTGGGAGAAGCTGCGGCCACCATCTTACTAATGGGCATGGCCGCCTTTCCCTCAAGGGAACAGGAGGGTGAAGGCGCCCGCGGCGGCCATCTTATTTATGGGCACGTTGTCCCGCCTTCCTCGACGTTGCGTGACCACCTGGGGCGAGGGAAACTGGGCTCGTTCTGTTAAGGCAGGTCGCTGCTGCGGCCATGTCAGTCACGGGCAAAGTTTTCTCCTGGCTTTCTCTTCTGGATTTGGAAAGTGTAGTGGCACGCGAGGCTGAGAAACGGGTCCTTTGCTCCCGTTTTGTATTTGCCTTCCCGGCAGGAAATGTTCATAGAAATCCACGAATGAGTCCTGAACTTTAGTGGCTTTTCAGAGACTTGAGGGATTTTGACACAAAGAGGCTTGTATTAATCTGTTGCAGCAAAAGCAACGAAGTCTTGCTGAGCACCTTAAAGACTTAGAAGTGTGACTCCCAGCATGACCTGTCTAGCCATGAAGAGCTGTTATGAGCTTTAACTCGGGGTTTCTCCTTGCTTTGCAAGTTGTAGGAATGATGGGAGCTACAGCTTGAGGGAACGGCTGAAATGCAGGCATCATACAGCTTTTAAATGGGACGCTATTTTAAAAACGTTTCAACACTATACCGCTGTTCAGTCGGCTGAAGTTCTGGCTTTCTCAATTGATTTCTATAGGCAGCTCTCGCTTCTCCCTGGAGAAATATATAAATAGCTTCCAAGACTATACATCGAGATGATAAGATCTCTCTCAGTCTCATTCTCTATCTCTTCATCAGTCCTTAAACAAATTCGCCCTTTTTTCCTGTGCTCACGCGGCCATATTGAAAAAGGGTCACCCTTGAGAACATTTTCTGCACTCAGCATTGGAAATGGAAACGGAAATGAAAAACGAACATTAAGGCGAATATTTATGCTGCACCCAGACGAGGATGAGAGATGCTAGCCCCGGTCACCAAACGGGGACTCGAACCTGCGTCTCCAGGCGCTCTACTCTGCGCCACGATATAACGCGCTGACATCCGCTGAGAAGCGCGGGC